TTAGAAAAGATGTCCAATGTTTAATATTAAGAAAATACAGGTCTCTTTCTTACTATGTATTTTGGAGTTTTCCCATTTTCAAACAAGACTTTATGAATAATTAATTTAAAAGTAATTCAGTAGAAAAGGATTTCTCAATTTCAATAGCCATATCAATACATGAAATTTATACTTGCCCAATTAATTTATAGCAAAATGCTTAATTTACTGCTTCAGAGAAAGAAAATGTGTTTTTGCGTTTCTAAGTATTAGATGGCAATGTAGCAAAAGGAATGAACTGTGGGCTTATGTGTTGCACAGTGATAGCAAAAAATCTAACTTTTCGGTTAAAAATGGATATGGATTGGCTATCTTATTGCTGGGATCATTAAACCAGATATTTCGTTTTTTTTTTTCTCTATGTGAACTCTGGTTACTGCAAGCCATCAACTAACAAGTAACACTTACTGGTGTTACATGCTAATGGATTGCAGTTCCCTAAGGGGCTAATTGTACTGGGGGGATGACAAAAAACCTTCTTATTCTGCTGTAGGCTTCTAGGATCATGAAGGGTACCAAGCTTTCAGCAAGGTAATGAATAGTATCTCTAGTTTTTATTATTATTATTATAGTATGTCACATAGTCAGCCAGATGTTCAGACTGGAGTTGGCATTTTTATCCAAAGGACCTGGAATTGGCAGATATGGATGTTCGATCATATTAAAAGTATTGTCTCAGGTTGTTAGCTGTTTAGAGTAAAGCCACCTTTTGCAATTGACTGGTGTTGTTTTTGTCAATGCCAGTGATGTTGAAGTGGTGCTCCAGTTGTTTTAGGATTGCACCCAAGATGCTTATTGCTGTTGTTTGCAAGAGAAAACCTTTGCTTTCCATTGCCACAGATTTTCTATTTCTATTTGCAGGCCCCAAAGGTGCTTTTAGAAGAGGCAACTGGAGTTTCTTGTTTTTCTTAGAAGACATTTTCCTTTTCATCCAAGAAGCTTCTTCAGATCTGATTGGTTGGTGGGAAAGGGAAGGATTCATACTCCTTGCAGACAACTGGTCATTTGTATTCTTTTAGAGAGTTGTTGAGGCCACTTGGAGATTTATCTGTGTCTTGGGGTCACTTGAAGTAGTGCAAGTGGCTGTGGAGCCTTCTCGGAACTGTTGAAAGGACTGGAGATAGATGATGTCCTCAACAACCCTCTAAAAGAATACAGAAGACCAGTGTCTGCAAGGAGTATAAATCTGCAGGTCTTTGTATTTTGTCTTCCAGCACTTTCTTTTCTATTCTGTCATCTCCAAGTATTGTCACATCCACTATCCAGATTTTTTTTTGTCTTTCTTATTGACAATTGTTAAATCTGAGTGGCAGATACCTGTCAGTTTGAATTCTAAAGTCCCAGATCATTTTAGCTTATTTATTTTCTATATTTTATGGTCTCACCAATTCTTGTTTGCAGGCAAATGGGATTTCTTGCATTGTTGCCATTTAATTGTGCTGTTGTTTGTAGCCAGTCTGTGCAATCCTTTTGCAGCAGCTAACCAGATGTTGCACTGTTTCTTTAGCATCTTTGCAGAGGCAGCACTTGCTGTTTGTCACTGTCTTCTCAATTTTTATTTATTCTTGGGCAGCCAGAATTGGCACATCTGTCTCTTTCTACAATGCTGTTAGCCATTGCTGGACCTTGGTATTTTCTGCTTTGCCTGTTTTTTTAAATTTACTGGCCAAATAATACTTTGTCTTCCCTTTCTGTTCTCCCTTTGTCTATTTTCTGTTCTCTTTATGGTCTTTCATGTAGGCCAGTTTGGTTTTTTCAGGACTCAGTAAACCTTCCTGGTATGCTAGCTTCAGTGCATCGCCTTCACTATCCATTTTTCCAATTCCCCTTTTACTTTTTGAAGTATCTGATATACTTGCAACATTTGCTCACCTATTTTCCTTGGTAAGTAGAGTCGGTCAACATCACTACGTAGATGAAGGGTATGATTTATTGTCATTATTTTTCTGGTTTTCCTATCCAGTGCTTTTAGTTCTGCTTTCTACTCTAAGAGTGTATCTTATGATGAGAATTGCCCAAGTGTTAATTGCCTTGATCATATTTCCTCCACTGAGTTTGAGCTTTTAGATCCTCTTTACTCTCTTGATGATACATTCACTTCTAACCTATTCTTGACTTTTGTATGGTTGATGTTGTCAGCTTAAAGGATGCATAGGCATTTGTAGTGAACTTCTTCATCCAGACTCTCAATGTTATTTCCAAAGGGTATTTTGATTCCTACAGTTTTCACTGTTTTTCTTGTTTGATAGTGACACATTTGTCCAGCCCAAACTTTATGTATGATATGTTGGCTGTATATATGACAGAGTAGAGAAGCTATTTATTTTTTTAATCATTTTTATTTTATTGTCCTCAAAGGGATATACAGCTTAGCATAATATGACAGCATTTCATATTTAAGCAGATACATACAGGCTTAAGAATGCTTTCTCATTGGTTGGCTTATATATTCACATTTGATTTTATAAAAGAGTACATTAATTTATATACAAGAGATGCCTTTTGGATTCTTTTAAATACTATCAAGTCATAGCACAGGGCCTGTGATGATGAAGCTAAAATGATCAGTAGACATGTGTCTTGAAGATGTACAAATTTAGTGATAGCATATGGACAGAAAATGTATTTCACTATGAAAGCTAAAGCCCCATTTCCCCTCAAATGTCTTTGGGCTCTATTCAGTGTGGCATTTATCTGCATTGTTACTTTGGAATCAGGATATATGTGACCAGCTTGATGCCTGTTAATATCTGGGGTAGTGTTAAGCCTTTTAAAGTGGAAATGGTGCTACTCATTTCCAAAACCTTAGTAAAATTACTGGATGAGAGTGATGATAAATAGCAATCCCCAAAAAGCTGTTCCAAGAGGTAGCTGGACTTTCAGGTTTGTCTTTGAAAATGTTTCACTTCTCATCCAAGAAGCTTTTTTCAACTGAATAAGAGAGCTGAAGAAGCTTCTTGGATGAGAAGCAAAACATTTTCAAAGAAAAACCAGAAAGTTCAATTGCCTCTTCAAAAAAGCATCTTTAGGACAATCATGACCTGGATGACTGAGAATCTCCATAGATAAATAGCAATGTTATTAAATACTAAACTGGATAGTGGCATCATATCTCTTTCTCTTTATTCTTGCTACTGCTTACCCAATATCCAGGAAAAAGGTGTTTTGTGAATTTGGACTCTTTTGAAGAGGGGGCTAATTTTTAAGTAATGGAGTAAAAAGATGCTTTATAGCCATTTTTCTCTTGTCTTTCTTCAAGCAGAATATTTCAAGACATTGTATTGGATTTGTTGTGAGATCTCCAAAGAGTATTTTCCAGGCAAGTGACTATTTACTACTCACTCAAAAAGCCTACACCTGAAAATGATTGAATAATCTTGTTATGATTGTTCTAATCTCTCAGGAAACTGGGTTATGGTTAAGCGATCCTATCTATCAGCCTTTCCACTCTCACTACCTCACCCCATCTACTAATTCTATGTAGGGTACAAAAGCTATCCTATGTAAAGTATCAATCTCTTCAGTTGTTTATCCTTATTCGTCTGCTGCTCGATTTAGCTAGAATTTTATTATAGCAAGTTGTATGAAGAAGGGAAAAATTACCACAGTTAGGACAATAAGGAGGTACAAAATTTCCTTTTTCTATTCTTCAATCAAATTGTAATTTAACAATTCTAATGTATCATTTAGCCTTCTTTCAGAAATTTCATATATGAAATTAATTTATTCATTTTGAAAATAAGAGGCTAGGATTTCATTTGTTTGGAAATATTTCCAGTTACATTCTCTTTTGTCTCTCAAGGTAATAGTGTCTTGTGATATTTAGCTGTGAAATACAAAAGAACTTGTCAAATTGTAATTCCTTGTTTGAATAGTTTATATTCAGATACTGGTGACAATCTATCTTGGATTATCTAGATTTCCATCCATCACTGTTTTTTCTAAGAAAACCCAGTGGTCCATTTCATCTCAATATATATGTTAAGTTACAATTTGATGATAATTTCCCAGAATGGCTCAGAATATAGTGTATCCCACTGGCTCAAACTAATTTTATGCAACTGTAAATTAGAAAGTGATAAAAATAAACTTTCAGTATTGCTGTTTGAATAGTAAATGCTTGGCCAATAAAGCCTGCTTACAATGTTTGCCCAAGATAGTTCTTTTTTAGTTACGCAATAGAGGCATAGTTCAACTTTGCAAACAGGGATGGAACAGAACTTGCTTATGTTTGCAGTTTACCCAGTTAGCAATTATTTATAACATGGAGATAAGTTACTCTGACCTAAGCAGGGGTGGGATTCTACTGGTTCTGTCCACTTCTGTAGAACCGGTTGCTCTGAAAGCAGCAAACAAAGAGCATACATAGTGTTAAATCTGGGAGGACGGTTCAAGAACGGAGGCAAGACTCAGA